GAAGTAGCCAATGCACTACTAACCCTGACTAATTGCTAAAATGCACTCATGAAGCCATCCAAGTATACAGACAAACTCCACTATGAGTTATTTTTCCATCTTTCACGTAAGCTACTGTATGACTACTTTTTCCTCATGGAAGTTACAAAGGTACACTAGCTTAGTCTTCCTATGCAAAGGTTAAATTTATTGCTTAATTTTCAAACTTTCAGGCAAAATAAAGCCATGGGAAATGCATGTAACATGGGGGGGAAACATGATGAGTTAGATCTTTGTGCAGTTGCAGAACTACTAGCTTGTTGGGATCATGGAAACAAATGGACTAGGTGTTGCAATGAAGGGATGCATGCTCTTCAGGAAGGCCAGGATGGGAAGGTGAGAAAGAAGAGTTGCCCTTTATGTGAGAGGGCAGCTGGAGTAAATGGATCTCTGCTTGGGGATGGATGAAGTCAGGCAATCTAAAGCCTAAGTGAAATTGCATCTGGCCAGGAATGTCAAAGATATAAATTGCTTGTAAAAAGATTTTTTTGAGGTCTGTAATTGAAATTTAGAAGCTGGAAATGTTTACAACAACTGGAAATGCTTACAAAATTTGTTCCTAATGTTCAAACACACGGGTAGAGCTTCTTGAAGCTGCCTCCATTCACATCCAGTTCAGAGAAGAATTATATAGTAGCAGCTGTATTTGCATGCAACACCTGAGTTCACCTCCTGTATATTTAATATGTAGAAAACGCTACCATTTTCCATTTTCATTGCTGCTCTTATGTTTTATGGAGTTCACAGAAAAAAAACAGGAAGGGTAGTGAAAGCGATGTTCTCAGTGGCTGTAGGCAAATCAACTTGTGTCATATAGTAAGTCTGAAATACTGAAATACTAAACAGAACACCAGAAAGACAGTATTTGTCATGATAGTATTATCCTTCCTCTTACAGAGCTCACTGCCCCCCTCTTCAACCTGACGATCTTAACACCGCAAAATCTAAGTAGAGGATGGATGTGACATCTCTCTGGAAAACAGCATCCAAGACACAAGTATTAATGATTGCTTTTAAAGGTGCCAATACAATGATAGCTTTCAATGCATTTTCATCTTCATATACCCCAAAGCCAGTGACATCCAGGTACATCGATGCTTTAAGATTTAACCAGAAAGTGTTGAGAAAGAAGTTGCTGTAGTGTGGTACAGATAAGCCTAACTCTGAAGCAGATAACAGTGTTTCATAGTGCTTCAAGAAAATAAACAATAGGATAGGCCAGGCAGACACAATAAGGCAGAGCAAAAAAACCATAAATATTAGTAACTCACCTTTAACTCTGATTAGCTGGAAATGTTCAGCAACTAAGAACAATTTTGCAATAATCTTTATTTCTAAGTTGGAACTGGTGTTAACAAAAAAACCTCTGTAGTTTAAGGAAAAAAACCTTCCTGGGCTGTAGAGTCAGAGAGAGAACAGCAACAGGATTCTCTCCTTTTTCAGTCTTGCCTTTCTCCTGACCCCAACACTGACAGCTCCCAAGGATGAGCCTCTCTAAGGGAAAGTTACCCTGCCCTTTTGGTTACTCTTCCTATCCCTCCTGCTCTACAAGGCATTTGTTTTAACATGGTTTCTCCTTGTTAGTACTAACAAAAACGACAATTTTCTTGGATTGGTTTGTTTTTAAACAAAAATAATTGCAATTCAGATTTGTTAAGCTAGTTTTTACAGAAATGTATGGGAAAACCAACCAAATGTCATAAAAATGACACCACAAACACAGATGAAGACATAAAACATCTTATGTATGTTAATCTCATTACCCAAAGCCTCATTGCTTAAGTCAGCCTGTGCAGTGCTATAGAAAGGAAGGTGAGAACTTCCTTTGCTTGATGGGAATAGATGAACCACTTGAGCACAGAAGCAAGTTAAAACATCAGTGGAAAAAACAGAAAACAGATGGAGGCGGGGGGAGTGGTCTTGAATCACCCTTTCCTGCTTTTCATTCAACAGCATAGGCCAACTTAATGCAAAGCAAGTTAAAGTATTATTCACACTGAGTAAGCCTCCTGTAAAGCATCTTGTCTGGCTTCAGCCACAGCATTTTTAGAACTAACTGAAGAGAGTCCAGTAAGAGCAATAAGAAAAGATGACCAACAGAAAGACCAAACAAGCTGGGCACATTTTAGCCCAAAGCAGAGTAAGCTGGATGCAGGGTGGGGCGGCAGATACAGCTCTCACTTGAATATTTTTAAGAACCAGATAACTCAGTTATGTATCAGGAATGGAACAGATAGCTTTGTCTTCACCTTAAAGTGGAGGGAAAGTAGGATGGATCTCTTGAAGTAATTTCTAGCTCTGTATTTTCCTAGGATTTGGAAGTGGACCCTTCAAAATAGCAACAACTGTTTCACTGCCAATCGAACCCAACCCCTAGGGTTGGTTGTTGCTTCCCTGGGCCTGGAAAAGACACATCACCAAAAAATTCCCCACCCTGGTATGGCCCACTGATTATTACCTGCTACTGGCTTTTCCAGTGGATACCAATGAAATCCTGACAAGAAGGCTGTGTAAATGTAAGAGGGACCTCAAGGTGTTGGGAGAATTAGTCAAGGGATCTGCAGCACCAGCTGTGTTCTTTTTTGTCCTGCCCGTTGCAGGGAATGTTGGTGTAAGAAACAGGAAAATTATGCAGATGAACATCTGGGTTCAAGACTGGTGTTAGCAGCGGTATTTTGGGTTTTTTGATGATGCGTCAGTTTATACGACACTGAGCCTGCAGGCAACAAACAGGGGCCACCTGTCTCAAAGGGGTAAAAGGATCTTACCTCAGGGCTTGTTGAGAGAGCTTTAAACTAGATTTGAAGAGGGATGGAGACATAGCCAGGCTTGACAGAGATAAGGTATGACAGAGATAAGCGACCGTCCAAGTACCAAAAGGAGGCTTCAGAGGGAATACTTCCATCAAGCACAAGCATCCAAAGACATAACCACAAGACAGGACTATGGGACATCCCTTTGCACTCCTACTGGGCTATTGACACAATCAAATACCTCTATAAATGCTTCAACACCAACACATGCAGTTTAGGGAACCGATTCTGTGATTCTGTAATATGAACTTATCTCCAAAGGAAGACACTTGCGCAACAGTCCCATATTGCAAGCTGTTATTTTCCCATAATGTTATCATCTATTCCCATTCTTTTAAAGGGTTCTTCACATACTTTAGTGTCACTGAGAATCAAGCTGAAAATATCAATCAAATTCTTTATTTATATCTCTTGGATATAATAATCTCTCTAAAATTTAAGGACTGCAGCTTTTTAGGGTTTGATACAACACAATTAGATATCAGGGCTTCAAATAAAGTAGAGTTTTAAACAGAAGGTTAAGACAGCATTAAAAAATGATTAGCATGTCAGTAGAGTCTGAGCAGACAGCTCTAATGATACCGGACAGGGAGTTTAAAGGAAAATACTTCAGAGAAGTAAAGGGATATTCTTTCTAGCAAAATGATTTCCTTAAAGAAAAAAAGTCCAAATTATGCAGATCTTTTTTTTTTGTATCAAAAGAAGCAGTTTGAAAGTAAAATACACCTACCCAAAGCAATTAAGATGAGAACAAAGAGGAAAAGAATACTCCAAGGGCCAAGTACGTAAGACTGAAAGAACTATTCAGTCAAGGTATAATCATCCATTTTCCCCTGAATTATATTTATTTAATACAAACATAAAGGTGTGCAGAAGAGATGAATGGGTTACAGGAGAAGGTAAAGTGAAAGCTCTAAAATGTTGTTCTTTGGAGAGCATCACCATTATCAAAGACAAATGTTTGCTGCAAGTCAATCTTGAATTCAAAGTCACCTGTTGAGTTGTGCACGGCTCTGTGAGAAACAGAAGGCTACAGAAGGAATATTCTATGACAGTAGTGCTTGCCAGGCTCCAGTCTCTGTTTTAGCAGTTGTAGAACTTCAGCCAGACCTTTCACAGGTGACAAAGAAAGAAATTTTTAGATAATTTTTACTTTTAGACTGGAGTCTTCCTCTCCAACTCTGGGCTTTACTCTGAAGGAGAGGAGGAAACCAAGCTTCCCCTGGTCTCGATCATACACTTACCATGACATGAAAAGCAAACCCCATGTCAGATTTTGCTATATGAACAAAATTGTTCATAAATTTGTAAGTTCTACCAAATGCCTGTCTCATTCTATCAATTTATTTGCTTTTATGAAACTACTTATTTATGAATTCTTGCTCAAAACAACTGAAAATCTTAAAAACAAGCAAAAATGATCCTTAGTAAGTTAAGTCTACACAGCATTACATGGTTCCACTACAAAAATAAGAAAGCACTTGAATGCAGTATTTAGCATCACAACCCCAGTTTAACAACTCTGGGGCACAAACTGGGATATTTTACAATTTTAAATGCCATTGCAGAAAAACAGAACATATTCTTTCAGTCATATTTCCTCACCTAGGATATACATTTATAGATAACCTCTGCACTTTCCTTTGGTCACTTATCATGCCCTGATGCTAATTGAGAAATAATTCAAAAAGAAGACTTCCTATTTTATTACCCATCTCACTTCACAATGTAAGCAGATTTCCTCTAAGGCCTCACAGGAAAAATGAAGAGGATACACTCTGTTTCAGCTCATCATGACAGGCATAAGATGTTCCTCTAGGCAACCCTTGCTAGGGGCACAGCAATTTTTTTCAGAGGCCTGACTCTGATGGATGCATAAAATAGGACAGACTGAGAGCAGATCTTTTAAGAGAAAAAAAGATCAGTGGGCTTCAGGGAAAATGGTATTTCAGGCTACCTGTGTTTTTAAAAATTGTAGTTGGGAATAAAAATTAATGTGGAGAAAATATTATACTATCTGCCACAGTTCATTAAAGTACCATGCACGGAGCAGGCAGGTACTTCAGTAACTGAACAGATCCTGTTCCTCCGTATTTTACTTTCATTGAGAAGATGACTTCAATGACTTCTACTGTATTGCTAACATACTTTTCCTGGCTCCCTTCTGTGATGTGGTAGAGACGATTGGCACCTCCATCAGCACAAGCTCTCAGGGCAGCTGCAAGCAAAGAAAGAGAACATCAATGCATTTGCATTATAAAGAAAACCCCCACAACCACTTACTTCATTATTGACAATGATGTACAAACTCAATTGTTCGGCATGGGGAATAAACTTGAGATCTCATATGGCTTCTAGCTTCCTATACATGACTGCTTCCCCTGTTTCTCTAAATAGGAATTTGAACTGTTTTTATCAGACTAGTCCCAGTCTTCATCTGCCTGTGCCACTGTACTTGCAAACAGCTTATTTCTATCCATCCTAACCTACTGCCCAGCCAGCTTAGACTAAGTGAGGGGCTAGTATTCAAAACCTGAAAGGGCCCATCCTCCATCTATGGGCATGTATTTGTCACGAAGTGGGAACTTGCACTGGAAACCTAACTACCTCCTCATCCAGGCAGAAGGTTCACAATGGTGGCTCTATAACAACTTGCATAACAACTGGGGGGAAAAAACTCACATAACCAAGAGTTCATCATGACAATACCTATTTTCTCTTTTTTTCCCCTCCTATGACACAAAAATGGTAACTATTACAGTTTCTATACTGTTCCACAGACTGTTTGAATCATCTGATATAAAGTAGGTGGGTTAGGTCTTGGCTTTAATATCTTGAACTATCCTGATACAAAATCACAATAATTTTCAGTGCTTCCACCTAATTCGGGGACCTCAAAGGGCATGTGCCACTAATTCCAGTTGATTTAAACAAGCACAGACATGCTGTTCTCCTGTGATCCCTTTGTTTATATAGACTTAAGACAGAGAAAAGAGACAAGTCTAACACTATTATTACAAAATCAAACATAAATTGGTATATTTTATTCATAAGCATCCCCATTAATCATAATTTAACTAACACACAGCTCTTTTGTGAGATTTTTAAAACCTGATAAGCTATTAAGGATTGAAAATGACCATCTTGTCTTAGCAGTCTTTATCAGTTTTGCTCTGAGATGCACAAGTCAGATAACCGCAGCACACAAGATAAAAGGAGCTGTCACTTCCACAGTAGAGCAGAGCATTCCTTCCAGGCAAAGAGAGACTGACTGCTAGTTCTGAGAGGGCTGAAAGTCACAGGGCCAGGGGCTGGAGGAGAGAAAAGGGAAAAAGAGGAGAGACAAAGAAAACAGCCTGCCAAAGTTTTGGGGGAAAAGGTACAA